AAAAGAAAGAAAGGGTTAGGAGAAAAAGGTTGTTAAAAAGGAAAAAGGGGTAATTAATTATTTTTTTTTTGTTTAATTTTAGAAAATTTTAATTTTTTTGGAAAAAAAATTTTTTTAAAAAGGAAAAAAAAAGGAAATTTTGAAAAGTTTTTGGGAGTTGAATGTTTTTTTTGGGTTTGGGTTTTTTAAAAAGAAAAAAAATTTTTTGGAATTTTTCTTGGTGAAAAGGTTTTTTTGAAAAAATTTGGGGGGGGGGGTTAGGTGGGGGGGGGGGAGGGGGATAAGTTCAGGAAACGTTCCCGTAGCAATCATTCACTCCTCCGCTACATTTCGACTCTGTTTTTTTGGTGTAGACTTGCTTGTCCTTCTAAAAGGCGGCTGAAGGAACAGAATGGCACACACCCGGTGGTCGCACTTACTTGAGCCTTGCTTGCTCAACGACCGATTTTTGTGGGCGACTCACTTGAGGTGTCTCAACGACCCGTTCCGCACGAGACCCTCTGCGATGGCCACCCCTCCGTCGTCGCCGATGCTATTGGACCCTAGGCTGCTTTCGTCCATTCATCCGTCACGCAGTTAACGACGAAAACGTCCGACAAAGAAGAGGAACTAAAACTCTCCTCGTCACTGAGTAAACCTGCAAAGGTTTCTAAAGAGAGACAGCAGATGTCAGAGAGAACCAGGCCTTGTTATCTTTCTCTTGTGTTCCCTCTTCGGTTCGTTCGCCGAAAAGGGCGCGAGGTGCTCCTTTTGAACGGTAGTGCTCCCAATATATCGTGTTGGCGGACATGTGTGTGCACTACCAATAAATAGAATGTTGGCATCTGTCTATAGGGGAGGTGAATCATCCTGGCTCTGCCGGTTTTCCCCCCGGAACAATCAGCCCACAACCAACCACTCAACCGTGTTCCATTTTATACGATGCGACTCCAATCGACCAAATACCGGTTCCGTAACACCCCCCATGAGCGCCCGTACTTCTTCTCCGATCGAACCGACCGCGTTTAACCAACAACCAGACATTTCATCCTGCGGTCACCACTCACTCGAGATACACCAACGCCGTGTTTTCCGACAACGCACCCGCCAGAGCACCGGCACCGCTACTCCCAACACAGTTGGTGCCCAACCTGGTCGGGCAACGGATTCGGGGGGGTCGCGGCGTGTAAAAACACTCGTTTTAAGAAACACTGGTGGATCGTCGAGCATGAAGGACTCCATCCACCTGCCTATTCACCATTTTTCCCGTATGCAGCAATGGCGCGCTGTAATGGAGCAACTAGTGTATGAGCATTGTACGAGCGTTTCATGAACGTTGTATGAGTGCTTATTGGATATTTTGAATTTTCTTTGGATATGGATATTTGGCGTCGTTGAGGGGTATTGAAGTAGCTTGAAGGAAGATCAAAGTCCCAGCCCCGCTCCCTCACTCTCCGAGTGGGCGCTGAGCGGACCTGGTCTAAGAAGGCTAAAACAAGAGATCAAACAACAACTCTGAGTACCCGAAGCCAGGAGCAACGAACTTGCTCCCTTCCCTCTTTTATTTCTCTGTTCCTCCATAACAGCGCGTCATGGCCAATGCCCAGCCTGTGTTTTTTCGGGGCACCATTTCTTCCGCTTTTGGGTTACCCTTGCGGACGAAGAACACTTTAGCGGTCAAACAGTTAATAATATAGACAAAAGGAGAGGTGCTCCTCTCACATTAGCTCCCGCACAACGAAGTTCCCTCGCAGTGCGTCCGCCAAAGCGGCGGAACCCCGGGCCCCGACGGCGTTGTTCTTTAGGCTGCCAGTTTAATTATGTTTTCGTCAATAAGCGAGGTCGATAGCACGCGGCGCGCACAGCGCACAAAATGAACAAGTCACATCACACGGGAACAGCTGAATCGCGGACAGCGATTTGATCTCTGTTGCTGGGGGTAGGCCGCACTCGACATTGACACACAGTGTGTAACATCGAGTCGATGCAAACAAACGCGAAGTGCTTGGCAATGAATGTGGTCGGATGAGACCGAAACAGCGAACGAGAACTGATCGTCAAGCATGCAGCTGACGACATGAGACGGGGCAGCAGTCATGACTATTACCATCACAGTCATACTCCTAGTACCACACTATTACAGGCATACCCCTCGTACCGCACACACTGACCGACATGCTTCGCGACCGTGGGCGACAAAACCGGGAAAAAGGGATGCCGAGAGAGTTCCACGGGCCCAATCACAAACCTTAAAACCAGACACCTACTGCCCCAGCAAACACGAGCAACGACGAGGGCAGAGGGAGAGGGAGAGAGCACGTTCGACTCGCTCACTTGAGGTGGCTCAAGGTCGGGTGCAAATGCACCGCACAAGCAATCGCCGCAGCTCCATCCTCACCGATGTCACAGTACGCGAGGCTGAACGATGACAGACATCAATGCCCCCAATCCCGGTGTTGCAGGGTGGGGAATGGGAGCACGGGGCATGGGGGCCGTGGCAGAAGATGCAGGGGCAAAACATGTGGGCTCAAGGATGACATGTTGGGATGACAAGTCCAAGATTTGCGAAGAATGTACCGTGGAAGCTGGAGTAGGGTGCGATCTACGCGAATCTGGCTGGTGCGTCAAACATGTTTCACAAGGCGTAGACTGGCGCACAGGGTGCACGGGACCAGAAAAAGAAAGGAGAGATTGTCAATCTTATCCTATGTAAAACCAAAACTGTCTTGAAGGAAACGGCTCTTCTTGTGAAATCATCTTGATTCTTTTCGTCAAAATAAAACTCTCTTGATCTTGTGAAATCATCTTGATTCTACACGTCAAACCAAAACTGTCTTGAAGGAACGACTCTGGTGAAATCTTGGGGGAGGGTTGGGGGTGACGGCGGCAAGCGGCACACTACACACATGTGGAGACTCACTCCAATCGCTGCAAGGTGTTGTTACGAGCGAGTCCCGATGCCAAGAGCTCCGCCCCGACATCCCGGAAGCCGCAGTTAAACAAACTGCCCCGGACGGACGCCATCGAAAAATAATGACACAAAGAGATAGAGGAGCAGAGAGCGTATTTAGTCTTGTTAGATCTACCAAGACGAAACCCAAATATTCTGCATGCCTGTGGCCGGTGCCGCCACGTGTTGATGGGTCCTTTCGAACGTACGACGGTAGTCCAGAAATTCGACTCTGGGAAAAGAACTACCCATCCAAGAAAAATGCTACGGACAGAAATCAAGTCAGTCGCAAAAAAATGTGGGCTGAATCCCCTTGATTCGGCACTTAACTTATATGTACACCAATAATGAATGTCTCGTTAGGCTCTCACGTCAGTTGCTGCAGCGCGGAAAAAGGCGATTTCAGCACGCTCTCCAAGGCCGCCGCCGCGCCCTCCTGCAGCTCCTTTCCCCCCAACAAGAGCTTTTCGACCGTCTTGTTGGTCTCTAGCGCCTCGGCCAGCGACTGGATGGAGTCGTCGGACAGATCTTCACACAGGACCGTTACCTTTGTGTTTTTGTGGTAGGTTATGTCGTTGTTTTTGTTGTTGTTGGTGGTGGTGGTGGTGGTATTGGGTACGTACTGGTACGGCATTGGCATCGTTGTGATGTCGTGTCGCTCGTGTATTAAAGGGAAGATGAGGATTTGGATGCTCCCCTCTCGTTTTTTCGATTCTATTCGCGCTTTTTGTGGTAGATGGCTGACTTTCTGGCCTCCCCCGTTGTTGGGCAAGTGCGTTCACACACGGAAAAACAACGGGATCATGTCAGCATCCCTTTCTTGAGGGGTGGCAACCTTGGCCATGCGAGCCCCTTCAAGGAAAAAAACTCAAGAGACATAGAATGAATCTCCTCTCCTTCGGTATGAGACAATTGCTGGACCCTTCTAACCTCACGAACGCTTGTGTCCTTGGCAATGAAGTTACCGATTCCTTGACCCCCCGTACCTGCAAGCACGAGCCGGCAGTCAACGTTGGGGGGTATTGTTTGGTCAACCCGTTAGATTACCTCATTATTCTCAGACCGCCACCACAATCAACACATTGCGACGTTCAAGATCATACCTCATCTCGCCGAAAGCCTTAGACTACATAGATAGATTTGAAGAGATTTAATTTGAACAAACGGGGCAATGGGAGGAAAACTCTTCACCTTCTCATATGCACAATAAGCATTTATGTTCTTGCACGAGGTACAAGGCGCACATACTCCACCGTGAGTATTGATAACTTTGTGCGATACCAGGCTGAACGTACACGCCGGCACATTGGCTTGTCACCTCCTTACCGTTGAACATGACAGACAGCTTGTTGAGCTTGCGCTTTGTCCTGCGGACGCTGGTCAGGACGTCCTCCAAGTCCTTCGGTCCCAACGTGCTGATAATTATGTCGACGACCATCAACAACGTGAGGTAAACACAAGGTAAGCCCCGGGGGGACAACAGCATAGAAGTGCTCAGGCTAAAACTAGCTGGAGTTTATGTGACGTGTATAACTCCTACGTGGCAAAGCCAGGTACATACATATATGTGTTGGACACGACGCCGGTAAACTAAATCCTGTTCATATTTAGTCGCGTGTCTGGGTGGCATGTTTCTTTGGGTATCATACGTACAACTCGCGAGGATTACATTATAAGTATCTGAGAGAGTATGTTGGAAAAAAAGATAGAACGCGCGTGCCCAATCCTCCGCCCTACGCGGCGTTGCCTCTTCTAAGAGGCTGAACCCGGGGAACCAAGGAGCAGGTGGGAACTACACAACTTGTAGTGTGTCACTCTGAACGTGGATCGGGTGTAGAGCTGTCAAACTTGCATGATGTCTGTTCCAGATGGTTTAGAAGGGGTTGACCACAAGACACAAGCACCAGGCGTACACGGCCCCGCGCGGCGTACCGGAAGGTTGTAGACGTACCTTATAGTCAAACAAAGATGCTCCCAATATTCTACAGCCTGTTCATTCATGGCGTGGCATACATTTTCGATACTTTATCCCGGTGGGCGCGCCCGTGCGAGAGTCTTCATCAAACGTTTGCCAATTGATGCCTTTCATGCAGCAAACAGTGCTGGTGTATTTGAAAGTACGTGTTAAACGCGCACAGATCCTAAACCAGGATAAAGCAGATATGTTCCGTCTCCATGGCAAGAAAGATTTGCTCTACACTCTCTACTTGATGTAGTCTCGTGTAGAGTGACAACGCTGCACAGGTCATTTTTATCCGCTTGAACTTGCCCCAATGGTGAATGAATGCCGTTGCGATCATGTTCTGGTGTTGTTGTTGTTGTTCTTCTTCTCTGGTATCACACTCACTCGTGCCCTGAACCCATCAAGAGCGTCTTATCCAGGCAAAGGTGAGGCAAGTCGCCGTCGTTGAGGCCCTCCTCGAGCAGCGTGTCCACGACGATCAATTCTCCCTTCTTTTTTATCTGTGGATGGAGTCGGCAAACATTTGAACTTACATACACACACAGGTCGTAGATACGAAACATGCTGCAGGGTTCATGTAATGTTGTATGCGTATTGCTGTAGACTGTAGACACTGGACAGCGCTGCGCTGTAATCTGCAGGCCATTGGCTCACCACAACCCCCGGTGGAGCCTCCCCGACATTTCTCGGCCGCGCGCTGCTGCTGATCTCATTGCCCATACCCAGATAGACTGCTTGCTGTAGTTGAGACGGAATCAATCAAAAGGAACACGACCGAGAGATATTTACCGTACGCTGTTGTACGCCCTGGACATAGGCAGCTTTTGTGCCAACGGAACGCATGCATACGTGTACATAGTCTACCTAGCATTGTTCCAATTTAGACGGACGACGAACACGGGGCGGACGACGAAAGGAAACATTGAAAGTGTAACGGTATCCTTATCTGTTATTCACGCTTCGCACCAACTGAAAAAACCACGGCGGCGGTGGGGTAGGCGCAATCTACCGGACCCCCGGTTGCGCCGCTGTTCCAAGCAGATCACACTGCAAAGCTGCAAAGCATGATCATGAGAGCTTCCACTAGAACGGCGGTGGCTACCACCGCCTTCCTCTCTGGACGGGCGGGGGCCTTCCTGTCGTCGGGAGGGCTCTGGAGACACGAAGGAATCAGCAGGGCCAACACGGCGCGATGTTTATCGATGGAGGCAGAGCGGGAGAAGGTCGGCTTCATCGGTGGGTACTGCTGTCTTTATGTGCTAGCCTACAAAATAGCCCGAACACCAGTTTGTAGAGCTCCAGCAGTTGGTGATGGCGGCGTAGGACGCGTGTGGCTGTTAGAGGGTTAGGTGGAGGAAAGCTCTGCGATCGAGTGTCAGGAGGTGGCTGCAGCGGGTGCTTCGCAACTCACAAGTTGTGAGAACTGCGCTTCGCATGAGGACAGCTGCCCGGATATCAGGACCTCCCGCGGGTAAGGGGACAGAAAGAGCCGCCCGGCAGTGCCCTACTGCACGGGGACCGGTGCCGCATTCTCGTGGTGGGATGTAGCCATCGCGTTTCTCTCTCATATCCCGGCAATTCTATTCCCAACCCGCCGGGCCTGGGTGCACTATTCTGGGACAGGATGCTGAGCACCAGCGAGCAAGGCAGTGACGAGAAACCGCAGGAAGTGCCGCGCTTGCGAGCACACGGAGCAGACACCCATCTCATGTACCACATGCGTCGTAAAAGGGGCGTTGCCGTTAGCCGTCTCTTCCGGGATTACTTTGCGCCTACTCGATCATATTTTTGCTGTGCTGCTGTCTCTCTCCCACATGTACAGCGCAGTCCTTCGCCCGTGCTGCATCTCGTTCCAAGAGTATAATTTTCGCCCTTGTGTTGATATATCATCGCCCATTTTTACTGATTCTTGCTTCTTGGGGGGGGGGGGAAGGGCTGGGAATCATGGGGACCGGCATGGCGTCGAACCTCATCAAGGGCGGGAGGGACGTAATCGTCTGGAACCGAACCGCTAGCAAGGCCGCCGATTTCAGCAAGCGCACGGGGTGCGAGACCGCGGCCACGCCCAAGGAGGTCGTGGAGCAGTGCTCCATTACCTACAGCATGCTCTCGACCCCGGAAGCCGCGTCGGAAGTGTTCTTCGACCCCCACGACGGCGTCCTGGCGGGGCTGTCGAAGGGCAAGTGCCTGGTGGACTGCGCCACCCTACAGGTCGAGGACATGCAGGACATGTACAGCGAGGCCATCGGGAGGGGCGCCAAGTTCCTGGAGGCTCCGGTGTCGGGCAGCAAGGGACCCGCGGCGGCGGGTCAGCTGGTGTTCCTGTGCGGCGGGGACGAGGACCTCTTCGAGAGGGCCTCCGAGGACCTCGACCTCATGGGCAAGGCGAGCCACTACCTCGGGCCCGCGGGAAAGGGCACCGAGATGAAGCTGGTGGTGAACATGATCATGTCCACGATGCTGGTGTCCGTCGCGGAGGGGATGTGCCTCGGCGACTCCCTGGGCCTGAGCAGCGACTCCCTGATCGAGATCCTCGGGCAGGGCGCCATGGCCAGCCCGATGGTCGCCCTCAAGGGACCCCTGATGGCAAAGAAGGACTACTCGTCCAACTTTCCCCTCAAGCACGCGCAGAAGGACATGCGTTTCGCCCTGGGCCTTGGCGACAAGGTGGGTTAGGTAGAAACGTACGCTAGGAGAGGTTCTGACGTCTGTGATGGTTGATCTCGTGCACTACTGCTGTTGTGGCGTGTGGGTGTTGATTGATATAGCGAATTATGCGCATACATGTGTGGAAACGTGCGCTACGAGAGGTTTGACGTGTATGATGCATGATCGACCTCGTGCACTACTGCTGTGGCATGCGTGTTCTATGATGGTGACGTGGACGCGTTTCACCTCTCTTCGAAGAGGAGAGAGGTGGGTTTGGGCAGTAACAGGGTGGGAGGGGCTGATGAAAAAGAGGAAGCAGCACGAACACAGTGTTTTTCGTGAAATCATCCTGTGGGAAACCTTTCCCTCTCTCTCTCCGCAACGACAACCCGCCGATTTCCACTTAGATGGGTTTGTGACGAAGATCTGGACCGTGAGTTGGCGGCCTTGACATGTTGTTGGGGGGCGCCGCGAATGCTCAATATGCGGGCGAGATCTGCTTCTCGGTGTCGGCTATTTAGCAGTTTACGCAACCACGTCACACCTGTAGGAACGTTCAAATTGTGACGTGATACGGAATGTTGTTGTAACTGCAACCCTCAGCGCTGTACCCCTAGTGAATGAGACTGGCACAGCAGCAGTTGGCTCTGTCCCGTGATTTCCTCGCACAATGTAACTAACTCTCCTGTTGAACAGGTGTGGGTCGAAACGGTCTTTTCGACGTTCTCTTGGCCAACCGCATGTTGTACGAAATTGTTTGTGTTGCTTCTTTCAGTTTTCGGGTTGGTCGTGGGGGGAGGGATGCTATTATGGCTCACCTTAAACTTGTCTGCAACACCCTGGGACTTGGCGTGTGTTGTTTATAGCGCTCAAGATATACCGCCGCCGGCGGCAGAGGTACTCCTGCCGCGACCTTGGTGACCTAAGTTTTGTCTGTCGTCGCACTTGCTACTGCATCGCGATTGTCAACGACACTGCTCACAGCCCGTCGTGTGTGTCGCGTTGTGTGTTGCCTTTGCCGGACCCATCGCCTTTTCCCGCCGTATCGCCTTTTACCTCGAATCCGACTCATCGCCTATTACCTTGTGCGCAAACACGATGGTCCAAACCAGGCGGCGCAAGCCCTCCCGGTGGCGGCCGCAGCCAACGCGGAGTACCTGCGAGCCAAAAAAAACCACGCGGACGACGACTTCTGCGCCGTCGTCGAAGCGCTCCGGTCCAAGCCGGAGAAAATCAATTCGAATTTGTAATTCTGGTGCCGTCGTTGTTGTTGCCTCTGTGCTCATAAGAGACGGTGTTGTGGCACGCAGTTCGCTGATTGGAAAAAAAAACTGCGACGGAATTTCAAAACATAGGCACGACCCAAGATCTCACCGTGGACGCCTTCTTTCTCACAAAGTCGTGTTTATCGTAGCTCGCAGCACGCGGTTCGTCTAGATGGATTTGACCTTGACGGGTGCAAGATGTACTTAGCTAAGACTTTTCGCTTCACGTGTCAGGGGACGTGTCGCCGAAAGCCATATTTACGAGCGATAGGCAAAATTGCTCTAAACAAGGTTATTGTTGTTGTAGAAACCACTTACATTGATTGCCGTTGTGGAACCTACGATAGTAAGGCTACATTATATGTTCGTGACACGAGGCAAACAGTAGTTGCTGGACGTGCGGTGGGGATAGGCGACTCCGGCTGTCCAGAGGTTCATGTCTCGCGGTTGAATCAAAAAGGAGGAAAGGGCGACATGATTGATGCTGTGAGGACACCTCCACTGCTTTTGGTAAGTAGTGGGCTTTACGCGCCCGGCCCTGCGCCGCTTGATCGAATGAGCCTTATGGACATGGTTGATGCTGTGGGGGTGGCTGGCTCCTCGTGCCTTACAGACAACAAATTCTCACCGATACCCCAAGACAGGGCCAGGCGAAAGCCCCTCCCATCATAACACACCGTCTGAGAGAGAGGCACGCCCCGTCTAAATTCGCCGCACGTCCACAAATATAAGTAAAAATAAATACAAAAGAGTGGATCGGGCAACAGCGCCAGGGTTGGGCTCCTTGTTCCACGCGATACTGTCTGAAGTGCTAGCCCCATCGGGAACTCGAACCCAACCCCACACCTGATTTCCTATGAACGCCCTCCAATTGGACTGCAGATGGTCCACATGCAGGCCATGTGCAGGGGCAAGGAGAAGGGGGGGGGGGGGGGGGGGGGGACCCCAAAACCCCTAAAAAACCCCCAAAAAAAAAAGGGCCCCCCCGTTTATCCCCCCGGGGGGGGGGGCCCCCGAAGGGGGGGAATATTCCCCAAAAATTCTTTTTTTTTAAAAACCCCCCCAAAAACCCCCTCCCAAAAAATTTTTTTCCTTTTCCCCCTCCTCCAAGGGGGGGC